TTTTAACATATCACTTACCAGAAGTAATTAAAATAGAAGAAGAAAGTCTACGCGACACATTTTAAGGTCTACAACATAATAAATGTATTATAATATGGGTCTGTCGTCGTCTTCATTTACTGTGATTGCTTTGGTGCACAGTAACTCAGATATATAGAATTTATTATATGCACACGAATTTTTACGCAAGTATACCTAGTCTTGATTACAGTAAATGAAATGTTTACAAATACAACACGGACTATAAAAACAATCTTATAGCTCATCTTGTGCATGTTTATGTGACATTATTTTTTCTTTCGGATGATGTATGTAGACTTTTTAGAAAGTTTGTTTGATTGGTATAATAAAACACTTAATGACTGGTTATAAGGGTAATAGCAAGTTTATTGTCCCTTTGATACTAATTATTGCCCTCGGCTTCGCCTCGGGCAATAGTTGGTATGTCAGGGACAACAAACTTGCTATTACCCTCGTAACCAGTCAATAGGTGTATAGTATTCATGACTGACGAGTATTAGTTCTCGTAAGATTTTTTTTGAAATTAGTCACATCAGGTTCCTAATATTGTTGACACAATACCTAGAGCATGATCAATTTGCTCCAATTAAATGTTGATCAACTGTTTTAAACAACACCAAGAGGGCAATCAGAAACCATGCAAGTTATATCTTGACATGTTTTGTGTTTTTTTTTTTAAAGATCTTTATTATTTTCGTTTGATGGTGCATATGTAACGTTGAGCTCATGTAAATAATATCTTTAGATATAGGAAGATGTGGTATGAGTGCCAATGAGACAACTCTCCATCCAAGTTACAATTTATAAAAGTAAACCATTATAGGTCAAGGTACGGCCTTCAACACGGAGCATTGGCTCACACCGAACAGCAAGCTATAAAGGGCCCCAAAAAATTACTAGTGTAAAACCATTCAAACGGAAAAACCAACGGTCTAATCTATATAAAAACGAGAAACGAGAAACACGTATGAACTACATAAACAGACGACAACTACTGTAATCAGATTCCTGACTTAGGACAGGTTTCCCCATTTTATGTTTTATCAATATAATTACATTTTATGACGTTACGCCTTTGATTTACGTGAGGTTGTACAAGTTCAGATTTATTAGATGCTGGATGCTCTGTTTTTTGTTTAGAGAGATTATAATCGGTAAGAGATTGTTATGAATATTTTTAAACGCAGTATTTTATTTAAAAGGAAAAAAAACGTTTTTCTTTTTTTTAAGCAATGTAACAAAACATGTTCTATTAATTCCAACATACTTTTTAACTTTATGTAGTTATTTAGAAACGTAATAGACAGTGACTATGTATGTTAAAAGTGTAATTATCTTTTTATGGCAAAGTGCTGATTGTAAGAGTTGTTATGTTTATTCAAACAAAACATTTGATTAATAAAATATAATTGGTGCAAATCGCAAACTTGTCTAACTTTATAATGATGTCAGCTGCTGTAAGGTTGGTTAGGTTCTGACGTGTAGTAAACATCATAATTCCATCTTGTACACCATCATCTGCCATTAGAAACTGTTCTCCAACTGTAGTGACTGTCCAAGGTTCTGTTAGGTTGATCTCATTGCGTGTTTTTGGTAGTGCTGGTATGAGTTTTGATCTCTCGCTGTAAAAGCTACCTCTGCAGGATTCAAAAGTTGGCAGATTTTCTACTACCTCTTGTGTTTCGTCATTCCATTCTGTGTTGCGTAATTTAATGACCTCTTGTTCATATATAGTTGGAACTGGTGTAGTCTCCTCTCGGCACCGTTTCTTTATTGTCTGAAGTATCTCATCTACTTTGAGTTTAACTTTGTGGTTGTCATGATTGTGTCCATTTGGTAGTTTGGTAGGTATGTTGTTGCGAGTATTTAATGTAGCTGGGCAGTTGCGTGTAGTACATATCCAGTATACTCTATCATCTCGTCTGGTTTTGACTCTGTACTGGTACCCATTGTGTATATTTATACTCTGGTTGCCTAGTTTATTGGTAACAAACTGAATATCTAACTGTGCATTTTTTTTCTTTTTGACTGAATAGAAAGTTCTATTAATAGAGTAGGTATAAAGAATAGAAAATATCTAACTGTGCATTTGCCATACTGACTTGTGAATGAATAATTTCCAGAAAACATTTTATTTTATACACTTCTTAGCTTGGAACTCAGCAATATGTCATAAGTGAACTCATTTCACTTTAATTAAACTTAATTATTGTACCAATTTGGTCAATTAATTTTAAATCACTAAGAGTAAGTAGTCTAAGCTGTATCAGTGAGATTATATCATATCAATTATTAAACTTTAACTATTAAGTAATAATTTTATTTGATAGTTATTTTACGTTTCAGTTGAAAAAAAATTAAAATTAATTATTTTTTGTTAAAGTTTTGTATTGTTTATTGTATAATTCATATTTGTATATCATAATAATTAATAAAAAATTTGCAAGATCAAGTGTTATATTTTATATTTATTTAAAAAATTTTTTTTTTATCAATTTCATTTTTACTAAATCACAATTTTGCAAACATTTTATTTTTTGTTTCTAACTTTTCAAAGAGTAAAATTAAGTGCTTAAAAATACTGACTGTATTTTACCTGTTATTAATTAATAATTGTTAAAACAACACCTATTGTATTTTGTTTGTAGGCATAGGTTGAATATATTTTTATCAAATGTTGGCATAGGTTGAAGACACCCACTGGTGATCAACTGATTATGGTAACTGCAGATACCACGATCCCAATATGGTGGAGGTAGAAATAGGTAAAATCGTTGTCTGCTAATTTCTCCGTGTAAACGTGTTGTTTTCAAGAATTACTCAGCTGCCAGGTTGATCTGTTCGGTTTTGTTCTGTATGTCTGTTCTTAATATCATAGATCATAGATATTCTATATATTTCACAAGTTAAAATTTAAGGTAAATATGAATTGGTATATTGTATACATTTTTACTTAAGGAAGAAGAAGATATATTCCTTAATTTTAAATGATTTGGGAAATTTTAAAACATTTTTTCAATCAATCAATAACCGTTTTTCTGTGACTTACAGTTCATTAACAGAGATGTCGACCTGGTAGTAGTAATAAGATTAACGGTACCAATGTTCCTATACTGCAACATATGTGTATTACGACAACTCATATCTTCAGTGATGCTCGAGACCAAAACCTAACACAAACGGTGCAGAGCTAATAAAACCACAAAGGACCTAAAGTATATCCGAATCAGGACAAGGAATCGGAGCTTTGCATGAAGGACTTAATTCCTTTATTTAAATGATTTCTCAACTTTTATATTAGCAATGAAAAAATATCCGTATTTTAATACTAGTACCTAAGTAGTGGCTACTGTGCAAGTGACATACCCGGGGACTTATAGTCCACTAACCAAGGTATCGGCCCAGCGGCCCGATATTAGTTATAACATTGACGGTACCATTTGTTCTGCTCCAGATGCGCTTTCGACTATTTCTGCTGATCGTGTAGAAATGGATGCCTTTTATGACAACACATATAAGATTGATTGATTAATTTTTGGGTGCTTAAAGTCCAGTGGCCAATATTTCATGCATGTTCAGGACAAGAGAAAATTAACAATAAATAATGCCCTGTAAAAGGGGCCTTCCGGGATGAAGGTTAGGAAATTTGAACTGTCACTGGAAAATGAGGATAAGTTGGGAAGGGACTATTTTTCCTTGCAAAATGTCACCTTTGGCCCCTCAAAGAGTTTTTGTAAGGATTCTCAACATGCAGAGAGCGTAGCATACTCTCTACACGAGGCATCGGATTAACGTCCCTATTCTGACCGGACGTGGCTGCGTATTTATACATCCCGCATAGTCAAAACGGACGCCCCACTTTGGCAAGTAGGATTTTACTTCCGTTGGGAAGAAGACCAAGGGTGCCCATATTTCTATTCCTTAGTCACCTTTGAGAAGTTAGGGTAAGGGGGACCCGATATTAGAAGGTTAATCAAAAGATAGAATATAGCATACAAAAAAACAAAAAAAATCAGGGAATAAAAAGAGATGTTTCTTCATAAAACGAAGTAGAAGAGCGCTCACAAGCATGTTTAACCCTGCTACATTCTGTTTGGAGCCTACAATTTAGTAGTTGTCGTTAGCTTTCTCTTTGAGTTTTGCACATTGTTGAAGGGGCTGGGGGTTCCTTCGAATTGGGACATATGGTTAACCGCCCTTTTTATCTTGGGTTGGAACCCCCTTTAAAAATGGTTGGATCCGCCCCTGGTGCATATATTTGTTAACATCTTAAATTCAGGCTAATATAAAGTGATCATGTATGGTGGTGAACAAAATAAATGACGAAGCACTATCGCGTTCGTTGTAATTATGACGAAATCTTTTTATTAAAATCAGTTACTATTATCATTGAAATATTCTGCAGTTACGATCATCTTTCAAGTTATTTGTCCAAACGTTACGATTATCTTTCAAGTAATTTGTCCACAAGTTACGATTATCTTTTTTGTCAAACGTAATACAGAAGATTCATTTTTTTTTCTGTTCATTAACAAATATGTTTTTGAATGCTACAAGTAAGATACAACCTTTAAACAATGAAGATAATGATGTCAACCAATATTGTCAATGCATAGTAAAGCAAACCCAAAATATTTATAAAAGTTGCTTTGTCCGTATCTTTTCTCTCCTTTTGATATGTTCAAATAATTTGCAAGTCTTTGAGGTGATATATGGGATAATATAGAAACGCATTAAATTTTTGTAATTATCAGCAACAGGATTGTTAAAAACCATTTGATAATTAATTCTGTAAGTCAAAGGTGTTAAAGTTTTCAAATTTGTCGATGAAAATGGTATATTTTATATAAGAAATGATGAAGTTTTTGCATTCTTATGGACGCGGAAAATACAATGATTTTGTGCGAAAAAGTTTCGAAATGTAAACGGCTTGTGATGAATCTGTCTCATTTATGATAAAGGTCGACATACACATAACCTCAACTGACATATTTATATACTTTCTTAAATTCCCAACTTAATAGGAACATTGTTATTTCATAAAACATAATGTTAACAATTAGGAGGTTCGTTCTGTATTTTCTTAATACTTCAGCAATGTTCGAATGCCCATTTTCAGGGAACTGTGAGGGCAAATATCTTTGCTGTACCGCAAGTACCGACATATGCTTTTGGTAGATTAGGATCTCTAATTATAAAACAAATATTAAAAAACAGATTGACTTAATCTATATTCCTGGTATTACAAGCAAATGGAAGTAATGATCAGTTATCTTTATTGCACTAATTATCATCTGAATTTGAATGCAACCATTAATCGACCACATCTTTATGATTCTCTTTGCAAGCAAGCTTAAGTGAGTTTACTTTATCTTCATCAGAAATATTTGGTTTTGCCCCTTTTTGTAGAAGCAAATCAATAATTGTATAAAAACCTTTGAAAGAACTAATAGAAAGAGCCGTCCCTCCTGTTTTGTCTTGTTCATTAACAACGGCTTTATTATCCAACAAGATTTTGACAACATTTGCATGCCCTTTTCTGCAAGCTTCATGGAGAGGTGTTATACCATCTTGAGTTTTTTGATTTACTGACGCTTTCGCGTGAATTAAAATGTCTATTATACTCTCATTTCCCACTTTGCACGCATCGTGTAAAGGAACAGCGCTTTGATCATTACTGTTAACCTTAGCTCCACTCTGTAAAAGCATTTTGACGATGACTGTATTTCCGTTTTTACAAGAAACACGAAGAGGTGTCATTCCATTATCTGTTTTTTGATTGACCACGGCTTTTTTGTCAAGTAAAAGTTGTAGAACCCTTTCATGATTTGCACTACATGCAATATATACAGAAGTTTTACCAAACAAATCTACTGCATCTACATTCGCACTACTATTAAGTAAAGCTGAAACTGTTCCAGAATTTCCGTTGTAACAAGCTAAATGTAACGGTGTACATTCATCAGCATCTTTAACATCTACTTTTGCATTGTTTTTAAGCAGTAATATCGCAAGATCTGTATATCCATTTGCACACACTACGTGAAGAACACATCTCTTATTCTTTCTGCTGTATTTTTCATTTACTTTTATCCCCGAGTAATGCAACATGTACTTTGCAACATCGACGGAATTGTTTTCACAAGCATAGAAAAATGGCTTCAATTCCTCGTGGTTTGGAATATCAACTAAAGAGTTGTTTTCAACAAGGTCTTTGACAATTTCTAGATGCCCTTTTTTGCATGCTAAATGTAAAGGAATATTGCCAGCGGTATCTCTTTCATTAATCATACGTTCATATTGTATGAAAAATGAAACGTACTCATGATATCCTAGAGCGGACACAACATGAAGGGCTGTCATTCCTTCTTTTGTTTTTGTCAATTCATTACACGTTATATTTAGCTTTATATGTTCAAGAAACTTTGCCCTGAATTGTGGAACTACGTTCTGTGCACTTTCAAAAACTTGTTTATGAAATCCTTTTTTTAATTCAGTAACAAGTCGTCGAAAATATGCATTTGTGTTTTCTCTGGTTACTTTTATGATGTAGACATCTTGTTCGTCACTTATACAATACAATCGAATCTGATTTAATATCACGTCAATTTCACAATACTTAATAACTGATTTCATGAATGTTTTTGCAATACAACAAAGAACGATGTTTCGCATTGTTTTATGAATAAACTCGAAACAACCATGCTCTTCTCTCACGTATTCCCCTTTAAAAGCAGCTAAAGTAGACTTCAGAAGATTTTTCGATTGATTTTGAACAAAAGTTGATTCATGAAACAAATCCTGTAATAAATCATCATGTTCATGTTTGTTGATTGTAAGTGAGTTAATTGAAATTATATGTTTGATTGCAAGAATTGCTAATGCAATAAATCTAACTTGTGATTTGGTTTTGAAATTATCTATCTCGTTTTCAATAATCAAAAAAGGAACTTCTAAGAATTTTTTTAATGAGTATTTCTTCGAAGATGAGTACATTGCGCAAACAGATAGAAAAATATTATACAGCATTATGTCATCCTCATTCAAAGCCATTGAAACATCGGTGTTGATATAAGATTTGAAGATATTCAATCTCTCTTCTGCTAATAGCTGTAAGTTTTCCGATAACAAATCACACGTGTAAGATGGGATATTTAAGTATTTATACCATTCTTGTTGCCAAATATATGTTCTACTTGTAAGAATAATTTTTGTTTGATCTCTTTTGCTGACAATTATTTTTAATAAAGGTCCATTTTCTTCCCATGATACTGCTTCTTTTTCATCAACCGCGTACTTTCCGATAAAATCATCAACGAGGAAAATTTGTTTTGTGCCTGGTACATGATAGTTTGTAATGTCAACTGGTTTCCTGACAGGTAAAATAGTGTAACCAGCTTCTTCTTTTAGTTTGAAAGCTGCATAATAAGCAAGGCTTGATTTACCAGTCCCCGTCGGTCCAACTATAAGAATCACGGTTTCGGTCTTCGTATGGTTGTATATGACGTCTGCTGCTCTTGTTTTAACAAACTTGTCAAGTTTACTAGCCCAGTCTCTAAGTGTTTCATTTTGAAATTCTGTAAGGATATTGTAAAATTAAATCAAAACTATAATTGTATAAAATCAAAAATAAACATGTAGTTTTTCTGATCTATATAGGATAATGATGTTGCAAGGCGCTTCTTTTACATCTGATATTTTTTTATGTCAAACACGAAGACCCTTTGACAGACAATAGTTAGATATATATCATTATGATCGGAGTAAATGCGAGAAATAGAATATGCCGCCCCAAAAAGAACAAAAATATGTATATATATTTTTCAACAAATGACAGTTTCAACTGAGATAGATTATGCATTGTCTGTAGCATCAATGTCAGATCTCATATTATAAATGTGCCCCCACCAAAGGGTTACTGGAGAATAGAAATATAATCGATTGATCTTCTCCCGACCGGCAATAAAACCTTGTCAAAATGGGGCGTTCGTTGGGATATGCAGGATGTTTAAATTCGCAGTCACTTCCAGTCAAAATGGGTACGGTATATCTAATTCCATGTGTTGAGAGGTTGCCACGCTCTTTGTACGTTAAGAACCCTTGCAACAACTCTTTTACGGATCTGTTGGTTGTCTGTCGCAAGACTAAAATTTCTGTCCCTATCCAATTAACCTATTTCTAGTCTAGTGGCATTCCAAATTTCCTGCCCTTCAACAATGTTAACCCTATTACGAAACCTACTTATTGTATGTACTGTTGATTGTTGATTTGTTCTCGTTCTCAATATGCATGACATATTTTTGACCGAATGTTTATTAATCAACAATCAATCAATCAATTATGTACTAATTGAAATATAATAAAAAAAAGATGCAAATTGAATTTATTGTTCTTTTTTGCCGAACGTCCGGTATTTAATAGTTCAAGCATATTCAGGACCAAACCCTATTTCTTTTTAGATTATAACTTGATGATAATCATTATGCAATTTTCAATAAAAGATATCGAATGGATAATTAAACAAGAAGGCCAAAGCAAACTGAAAATGCCCGATCCTGCTTCATAGGTGGCACCCGTTGTGTTGCTCATGTAAGTACAAATCCGATGATAAGTCTTGTTTAGTAGGTCACATTTGAGGAAAAGAAGACGGGATTTTGGTTACGACAATTGGGACATGTCTGTCGTCATCAGTGAAACAGATATTCCAAAACAGTCACCCAACTCGTGAAACGTCCTTAACATTTTCAAAGGAATGACTTCAACTTTACTACTTGGTACTCTTTATTTGATAGCTGTATGTTAGCAGCAACCCTTTGTGAAGGAAATCATTATCGGAAATGCAAACTCTGAAATATCGTATCAACTTGAATGTATATACTTCATATGCAGGTGCTGCTCAAATGTTGCTTTACAGAAACGGAAAGTTCATAATTGGGAATTGAAATCACATCTATGAAGCCAGCAGCTATTGATAAGTTAATTGGGGATTTTTTATTTAGAATAAAGACATAGGTAATGATTTTCCTCATATTGGCTGTTCATGGACGAATATTGAATTGATGATCATAAAGAAATGGATTGTACATAATGGAGTTAACCCATTTTAGAAACTTTTCGTAGTACACTCCAGATAATTTGTATTTCTTACAAAAATGGGTTAACATAGGAATAACTTATTAGTTGCGTTTGATACTCATCTTTTCAAATAGAATTTCCATAAAAATAATTATTTGTAAGCATATAATTACTGCTACTTCTGATGACACGCTGGATAGAAAATACATTTGCAACCGGTCTTCTTATGACGCTCGTATTATTGCAAGGGTTCTGAAGATTTGTGAATGTCAGAATCAACGTCTTCGATAACATTCAATGTGATGCTTAGTATTAGTTACCTGCATGTAAGCCTATACGTATTCAAATTGCTTTTTACTTTCAAGACAATGTTTTAAGCTAAGAAAGAACGCTTTCTTACAGTTACCTTTAAAGTTACTTACAGGAATGTTCTAAATGACAATATGTATTTAAACAAATTAACATTTTACGCAATATCACGGCGCAGTACCGTCAGTATTTTTTAAAGTATTTAACCAACCCCGGTACACATATATTTAATATGTAATTGTTCAGAAAACAATTGAAGGTCTTTCCACAATAATTCCTAAATAATTGATAAGAAGCTATTTCGGGTTTCCTTAAATTATTCCCTGTTTCATATGATGGTTTTAGTTCCACTATTTCGATACATGTGTGGTTTCAATATACTTTGCCTGAAATAAGGGAGATAATCACCAACTTCTGGTTGAGAAAATGTCACTTCCGGTCTCATTTGAAAGCAGTATTTACACTAATAACAAAAATATATGGTTTCTATATACTTTTTCCTGTAATTACGGAAAATATTAGCTACTTCCGATTATTGAAGGTCACTTCCAGTCTCAAATGATAGGTTTATGTATGTATATTAAATATATATAGTTTTGTCGTACTTTTCCAAGAAAACAAGTGCAAAATAACCTACTTACGGTTTACTCAAGGTCACTTCCGGTTGACAATTTTCAACCTCATATCTCAACATTTTGCAAAAGACCTTATGACTTTATCATGTACTGAGTTGAAAAAAATAACCTTAAATTAAAACATTGCAGGGGAAATATCTCCTTTAAGATGTAATTGGACTGTTTCAAACCAAATATATCATATTTCATCACAATGAGGCACTATTTCATTTATATATATATATAGAGCTTTAAAAGTGTCAGAGGAGATCATAAAACAAACATAAGAAAAAATTGAGAAAATGGTTTTGACTTTTAACCTTGACATCATTTTGGTTTATGAGTTACAAAGACATAACGAACAATTTAATTGTTAAGGGTAGATAACTCATATGAGATGTCACCACTGGATCGCCTATGTTCAATTCAGTTAAATATTCCTGAGGATGTAACAAACAAGGAAGATAAAGAATTTTGTCGTTATCTCTTTTTTTTTATTGAGCAGATACAATAACAAGAAAGAACAGTGTTTTGGGGGGGGGGGGGGGGGTATCCCTTACAAAAGTGTTCTGTTTAACTGGGTGAGTTTCTAAAGTGCTATAACTGATCGATAACATATTCAAAAAATCAAAGCGATATCTTGCGAGACCACTACATTGCACTATGCAAGAAAGACATCCTTTTGAATCTATTTGACTAGTTATGTAGTTAGTTAATGAATTCTTGTGTGGTCTATGCATCATATGAAATTCTACAAACTCTAATGTTTAATAATATACTGCCTAACTGTATTTGTGTTTGATCGGATATTGATTTTTAAGTATTGATATGCATTTACCTTGAATATAAGACGGCATCTTAACTTTATTATGTACATTGGTTTCAACAGTAGCACTTTTATCTTCAATATTTTCGTCCATATCCTCTGGAGGTGTCTTAACTACATCTACAAAATACAGCAATGTACAAGCACTAACTTGATTTTATAGTTTCTCTTAACTTACTGTAAAAATATATGTTTAAATATGTATATTTCTTTTTTTAGTTGACAAAATGCATGTTTCAAATAATAAATTTGATATGATTTATTACAGTAAAATTTCACATTAATTTGGCTTTAAAATGGGAAGAATGACTAAAATGAAATATATAATACATTAGGACGACCTCACAATGTATATTATGTTAAATAAATATGCAATAAAAAATACTGTATTGTTCTCTACGATTAAAACAAAAACATAGGGAGCAAAACTTTAATCCAAGGCAAATCACAAAGCATGAGATATTGCGAAGAAAGACAAAATGACGTTAATCGTGTGTATGTTCTTAGAAATTGGAAATATGTGATTATCTTTTGTGTTTTGTGTTTTTCTAAATAAACAAAAAATAGAATAGAATAAAAGTAAATAGATCTGTTATCATAAAATTTCTATTTTCAGAAATTGAAATGTGTCATGTTTTCTCTTTATTCTCTATGTAGTGCAATTATTCCATAGTTTTTGGTTTTATATATCAGTGTAAATGTCTTCCCAGTTTTTCATACATTCTTGATTTGCAATATCCACATAGTACCACAATATATGTCTGATATATAAGCAAAAATATGACAATAGTTAAGGCAAGATATAACAAGTTTTTGCACCAGAAAAATAAATAAATCACATAAATGATTTTAAAGCCTAGTAAGCCTTGCAGTAGCCAAAACCATGGACACGGATACTTACCTTTACATTACATGATTACATTTGATTTATTGACGAACGTTAAAAATTGAATCTTTCATAACCTGTTACACTTATGCACTTGTCATTGAAATCCGATTAATAATGATAGTAGGACATTTTTTTTAAACGAGGAGAAAGGATGTTAAACTCATATTTGGTAAAATAGACATGGGGAGTACATATTTAGGCCGCTTTACTTCTCCCACAATTGTCAAGCTAAAACACTTCATGCTATATAGGATTTAAATATAAATACTAAAGGTGATAGCATTATCAGAAGTTTTCATGAAATTTTCCACCTATGACTGGTTGTTGATTTGTCATTTTTTGGTATAAGAAGTCATAAGGGGAGATTGTTTTTCCGGCCAACTTCTCCTACTGTTTTTATCTAGAACTGTAATATTTGGTTGGGGGTAAGTACATTTACTAAAGATGCACACTCTATCAGGATTATGATTTTCCTCTTATGATAGACAAGCAATTTAGAAGAATGAATTTCCATAAAAGCCTTTAAGAACTAACGCAGGATGAAAAACTATTTAAAAATCAGAAAAATGTTATTTGAAAGTATGGGTCAATGCAAATCCTGCTTTAAAAAAAGGACGGCTGTAAACGATTAAAAACACAGTAACATGGCATATACTCATTGGTGCATTACAACGGCTTTGTAAGTGATAATTAAAATAAAACAATGAAAGAAGATGTAAAATAAAGCTCCTAGCTAGAGGATTTGTGACGACAAAAAGCCTTTGAATCAAAGGTTCTTATTTGATATACAGAAGTCATCTTTGCGAAGTAATTACAATCGTAGTTTTGACCGTAATGCAATGTTTGAATAAAAGAAACGACCATATGTTCAATTTGTCGTACATGAAGCTATTGACCTTTCAAAAATTCTTGACACCGACTGATAACAATTACAGTCTACATTTGAAATGGAGGGGTCGTATCAAAGATAAAAATTATTCAGGTAGATGTTAACCTATAAGTTCATATTCGATATAACGGAAACGGATATTCAGCAAATAGCTATTGGAATTTCCTGGTTGTCCTTTTCTCTCATATTATACGTATCACATGTATTTATAATTAATTCAACTATTTAATCTCCAAGTAATACAAGTGAACTTTTTTCTACAATTAAGGAATTTCAGAATAAAGATATTTTGATGCGTGTGTGTGTGAGTGTACCTCATATAAGACTGCGCTGCCTGCCAATAGCTGTAACTCGTTTCTTGAATGCCTTTTTATAATTCTGCATTTTATAATCCCCTTGCTACAAAGTGGGAATATTGTATCAGGAGTATCCGTCTGTCCATAACGCATCCGTAACACACTTGTAGACACTGTATGACCTTTACGAGAACATGTCGGATGTCTTGCAAGAAGCAAACACTTCTAGCTTTTTCGGATCACTAGACATTATCCATGCTTACTTTGTCATTGTTTTTCCTATACATGTTTTTTTTTTTTTGTAAAATTGTCCTTTTATTTTCATTTTTTTGTTACTTGATTTCGCTTTTATTTTATCAACGTTTCGGTTTTTACTTTTTTCTTTGTTAACTTTGCGTATCTAGAGTATTTATTATTTTACCTCCTACCAAACGTAGGGAATATTTTGTATCCTAGTGAATAGGTAAAACTATTTTGGTCATTGATATGACCTTGACATGACTATAATAAAAAGAATTGGCTCAAGTCTAAGAGAACGATAAAAGCACAATTATTTATTTCTGATTTAGACCTATAGGACTCGTCTATATCATTTTTTATGTTGAGGAACCCCCTGTTTATACAAAAGTTTAACATCGCTGAATAAAATAACATTTCAAATTTAAATAATTGAATACTTATAAGCTTATTCTTATGACGACATTGGCGTTTGAGATAATGTTTGTTTTACAGTAAATGCAATACGTTATTGTGTGCTTTTTGATATTCTTTAAACTTTTTTACCATTTATCTCTATTCTTTATATTCTAGCACCAAATTTTCTCTATTAATTTTTGGGTCTATTTTTACGTATTTTTTTTTATATAATTATGTTTTGCATACTATTCTCTATTCTGTAAATCCCATCCAGATACACATTTGACTTTCAGGAGTATGCGAAATACAGTGTAGTTTTGTTTTATATCGAATTGCTTTGATTAAAGGGCCATGAACTATTTTTATCTACATATGAGATACATTGATATACGGTCGGTCAAGCTTAAAATAAAATATAACGCAAAAATGTGTTCATTTAGCTCTTGTTATTTAGGGTACAAAACGTTAGAAACATGGGTTATGTACGTAAAGTGTCACATTTCGTTAAATATATGACTAAATGCATTTTATATTGAACTGTCCATATGCTATATTTAAGTTGTTAATGATATTAATATTATTGAAAGTTTTAAATTATAACATTTGCAAGTTTCGAAAAAGTATTACGTCGTAAGCTCTAAATGTCAAATGGTTCATGCCCTCTTTTCACTCAATCCGTTGTATGTGTACTGATTGCTATTAATGTCTTGTTGAACATAAAGGATTTATTAGTTGTAATTGGCTTTGAACCAGCTGTCAGAAACTGCGAATACTAGATATCGGTGTTTTGTGTCTAGTTTTATGTAAAATGCTTTCATGCCTCTTACCGATCTTTGAGATAAGCCTATTGCAAACATTCCAGTTTGTTATATGTTGTGCTGTAACACTACTGTTCCAAGTTAGGAGGAGGGTTTGGCACCAGCTCACGCACATGTTTAACTCCGCGGCATTCATTATATGTTTGTCCCAAGTCAGGAGCATGTTGTTCAGTGGTTGTCGTTGGTTCATGTCTGTCATGTTTGCTTTTCATAAAACGTTTTGTTTTAAATAAAGCCGTTTAATTTGTTTTTAATTGTTCCACACTTTTTATGTCGGGCCTTTTAAAGCCTACTATACAGTATTTTTTTTATTGTGGACGTCCGTACGGTGGACTATACTTGCTTACATTAACTTCATTTCAACTTTTATGAATAGTTGTTTCATTGGCAATCGTACCATATCTCCCTAATTTATTCAGAATACTCAGCAGATATATGCATTCAACGTGTTTCTTAGCCTTGTACTTACAAATTTCATATTTTGAGACAACGTAAGTATGGTGAACCTTTTCGTTACATATTAACTGATTGATAAGCCCATACAACACCGTTAGTAATAAGTATTCGGAACTTTTACTTCTGTCCTCTGCAAAATGGCATTTGATTATGTAAATGTATGTTGTTTTGAATTACGGTACAAACCTGAGCATTGGTGTTTGAATATTAATGGCCAACATTTCAAAGTAAGCAACCAAAACACCAACATTGCTACTGAAAATAAATTAAAAAAACAGACATACATTTTGTAAATTTGAATATGCAATTAAACATCGGTTGAGGAGCAACATGCACTGAACTAGATTAAAAACAAAACAAGTTGTGTGTATAATTACAAAGACAGTCGTCTGTTTTATGTGTTTGTATTGTATATTTATTTGATTGACACCAACATGTAATGTATTTTATGCATCTGCAGCTGTTATCAATTCTATTTAAAGCAGAAGACAATGCTTAGAAAGTGTTTATGACGGAATTGTTCAAAAAACAAATCTGTTCGTAGAGTGTATAAAAGCAAATGAAGCAAAGCATATTCAATTTTGCAGTTTCAGGTATTTTTATGTCGAGTTTCTTATATGCAATGAAATTTTGTCTATAGTACTGGACAGGATACAACTTTACTCATGCCAAGTATATCTTTATTTGAAACAAAGATAAATTCTGCACATTTTTTTGAAAAGTGCAAATTTAACAAAGACTAATAGGGGAAAATCAATGGTGGTATTACACCTATTATGAGAAGCTGCTCATGCACCTTTGACCTTGTGTGTACTCTCATTTGTTAAAATTTCATGCTATTTCAGTGAAATATTACACAAATGAAATATTCTGAGTGGATTGAGTCTCAAAAACACATTTTATGAGAAAATTGCCTTGAAATAGGACTCTACCATGAATATTATTAGACAGAGCAAGCCATACTCAGTGTTTTGGGGAGCTTTTTCTCCTTATTCTATATTTTGCTATATTAGAAATCTTTTTCCTACGTAATACTTTAATAAATATATAGATATTAGTAAATGAAATTATTTTTGGAGCAGTAACAACAAATTATTTACTAAAAGGTAAGCTTTCTATGTCCCTCTCTGGAACATGGCGTAAATTTAAGTTTTACGTAAGGACTTCTTGAAACCTCCATGGAGTCAGTAAACTTGTATATGGATAGTTCATTCAGCTTGAATACTTCATTTACTCATTCATTATCACATTTCTTTCATAAATAAGTGACAGTTTCCCCAAAATTTTTATTTATTGGCCTAAAAAGTTGCAATTTTGAGGAAATGAGAGGTATAAATGGACCAAAAGGGACATTATAATGAAGAAAATGAGGTCCATTAGTGGTATTTATCATCCTCGAGTCATCTTTTGTATCATATTCAACTGTTTGTAGGCAGATGAGATAAATATTTGATCACTTATTGGTTCACTTTGTAAAACGTCACCAGTGTTTGAGCAGAAAGTTGATGAATCAGGGGTATGTCAAAGAACGTCTCGTCCTTTTTTTTTAAAAGTTCATCGGAAGATACCAAGACCTTGTTGATAAATATTCCGTATCAACTTCACAAATAATACACGTTGGTCTTGAAGTATAGATTCTGTGTACTGACGTTGTTTATCATCTTAATAACGTGTTATAGTATTCTTTTATTTGTCTTTTTGATTATTACTTTTACTGTTTATTCTATTTTTGGTGATTTCCATTCGACGTGGCTCTGTACTTATACATCCCGTTCTTGTGTTATTGTGCTATGGTAAATTTTTGTATTCTTGTCTTTCATTTTTGCTAATTGTGCTTTGTCTATATGCCTTTTTGTGTTTCTTTGTTACATATGACGTGGCTCTATACTTATACATCCCGTCATTGTGTTATTGTGCTATGGTAACATTTTGTATTCTTGTCTTTCATTTCTACTAATGTGCTTTGTCTATATGCCTTTTTGTGTTTTTTTGTTAAATATGACGTGGCTCTGTACTTATACATCCCGTCAGTGTGTTAGGGTAAATTTTTGTATTCTTGTCTTTCACTGTTGCTAATGTGCTTTGTCTATATGCTATTTGTGTTTCTTTGTTACATATTTGTTTGTTTTTATAGTAATTAAGATTATAACACAATGTTGACTGCTGTACCCCAATTATTGAAATTTTTACCTATTGTGTCTGTTTGTTTTGTTCACACATCGATGTCAATATAATGGAATTTTATGCGACTGTCATACAAGTGAGATGTTTAGCTAGCTATAGAACAAGGTTTAATCATCAATTTTCTACATAAGAAAATGCCTGTACCAAGTCAGGAATATGACAGTTGTTATCCATTCGTTTGATGTGTTTGAGCTTTTTATTTGCCATTTGATTAGGGACTTTCCGTTTTGAATTTTCCTCGGAGTTCGGTATTTTTGTGATTTTACTTTTCACACTATATGCTATCATGATGCGGCTTGATTTGAATTTTTCGAAGAAATTTTGCTCGAATCGCTTGAGATGTCGCCTTACATTATACTAGATTTTACTCTAACTATTGAACTGATTATGACAAACTTTTACAGTAATGCTTGAAATAACCAGTATTACAAATGAAAAAAATCACATTCAGTTTATTCAACAAAATAGTCTTCTTCCCTTAGTTTATTTAATTTGTATTTACATTGTGTCATAGGTCAAATTTATTTGTTCAGTGTATGTTAAATGGTGTTAATATGTCCTTTGATTGAGTTAAGCTATTTCAGTTGATATTTTATAGTGTGTCTTTCTATGTTGTGATGTTACACTATTGTTTCAGAAAAAGGGTGAAGGTTTGGTACCATTAAAACGTTTAAACCCGCTGCATTTGTTTGCACCTGTCCTAAGTCAGGAATCTGATGTTCAGTAGTTGTCGTTTGTTGATGTGGTTCATAAGTGTTTCTCGTTTCTCGTTTTTTATATAGATTAGACCGTTGGTTTTCCCGTTTGAATGGTTTTACACTAGTAATTTTTGAGGCCCGTTATAGCTTACTGTTCGGTGTGAGCCAAGGCTCCGTGTTGAAGACCGTACTGTGACCTATAATGGTTTACTTTTATAAATTTTGACTTGGATGGAGAGTTGTCTCATTGGCACTCATACCACATCTTCTTATATCTATTCTTTAGGTGTAATACCACCAAATCATAGTACGTCACACCCGGTTGCATACGATAAAGGGTGGAAAAAAAATATTCCCATTAATTTGACAGTTGTAGGAAATTAATCCTACATTTCATTGCAGTAAAAAATTTCTGAGTCATTAACATATATCTTGGGTGTTTGAAAGCACCATTATTTTTTTATTTGGTGTTTCTATAGAATATTTTGAAAACTTGAGGTTACATAGTTACTAAAGCTTGTACACAGGAAAATAAGGGGTGAAAATTTAATTGGTTAACTTTCAGTGATGTTCATTTTCTGATATGCAATGCAATGTTATGTGAAATTTTGTCTTTAGTACTGAACAGGATAAAACTTTACTCATACCAAGTATTTCTTTATTTGAAACAAAGATAAATTCTTCATAATTTTTTGAAAAGAGCAAATTTAACAAAGACTAATAAGGGAAAATCAATAGTGGTATTACACCTAATTAATTTAAAACAGCCTTTCAAGACCGTCATAGTCATAATAGTTATTTTGACTAGTATTGTGAACATAATTGTGAATTTTCGGATTTCGTTCCATATAATTGTATGATTTCAAGATTACTGTTTGTGGTGTCCTATGCTGTTGTCAATGGGAGATATCCGTTGTTATTCTGCGGTTTACATGTTGTAATGTACTAAAATATTATTAATTTATGCATTTGTCTGTGCTGAGTGTTCTTGTCTTTGGTTGTACTGTAATCCTATCACGCCGTGTTGTCATTTTAGCGATATTTTCAACATTGCCATATAAGCGGGAGGTTTGGCGAGCCATAAAACTAGGTCCAACCCACCATTTTTCTTAAAATGTCCTGTACCAAGTCAGGAATATGGCAGTTGTTATAAAAAAAGTCCGTTTCTATGTATGTTGGGTTTTGTTTTTGTTGCAGTTCAGTGTTTCTGTTGTTCCGTTGGTTTCCTCTTATAGTTGATATGTTTCCATCGGTTTTAGTTTGTAACCCGGATTTGTTTTCTCTTAGTCGATTTATGACTTTTGAACAGCGGTATACTACTGTTGCCTTTATTTTTGATTTATTATCTGACAGTTTAACATATCAAAACGAATATGTTATTATTATCTAGGTATTATCAAAGCTTCCTTTCAGAAACAACAAGTGCATACATGCAATCTTTAGAGCTAAAAATCATTACAAACAAACAGTTTTGTGTAAATCAACTCAAGTTTTTTTTATTTAATTTTTCATTTTGAGTGTCATTTTGTCTTTTTTATCTTGAGCCATTGTGTTGACTGTTATTTTTTATTATTATTTTAGAAACCCCCTTGGTATGTCCCCACTACTTAAAAGAACGGTACAGATAGTTATTTCAAATGCAACGCAATCGCTTTATCCTTCAATTATTCTTATCTCCAGAAGCAAACAAATATATGGTAAAGAGATAGAGATCATATCAACTTTCAGGATAGTTTCAATTGAGCGCTTTCACAAATGCCAGGATGTGGGAGGTCTCTTGTTGAATAACCCGTAACATCATTCAATTCATCTTGACATATCAAAAAGAAAATATGGAGTTGAAGGGTTGGGATCTTAACTAGTTGCAAGGCATTTTTACACTATCAAATATCATGAGTGGAGATGACCCCTGATGACTTAATTGTCATTCGATGTCTTTTGATGCACCGAACAAGAAGAAATCATGTGGTTGAGGGGCGGGAATCTCAACCATGTTTACGATATTGGAGTATTCTCCAACGCCGTTGGAGTTATTAATCGTTCATATGTATTATGCAATGTATTTTGAAATATCAAACAAGAAAACACGAGACGTACATTATGTAAGAGACGGGTGTCTTGTCCATTTTCAAGATGTTCAAGGTTGCACTTTGTAAATACAGCTGTTTCACAAGCCACGCCTCTTTTGGGGAGATATATAATATTCATAGAGATTTTGTTTTGTTTACGTACTGGTTATCAGATATGATCTTTATGTTTCATCTCATAGAGAAATAATTTGGGAGTGTTACCAGTGTAAAAACACATGGTAGCGACGAAAATTGAATTCTGAGGAAAGACTCAAAGTGAAGTAGGGGTAGTACATAATTTAAGTATAAGTTTAAACTCTTAGAAGTTCGGGGCATATAAATGTTGAAAATATGCCGCACAGCCCTATGTTTTGACCTCTGGACAAAAAAGTAGTGCATACCAACTTTCCGTTCTAGGATATAATTTTTCTTGAAACCTCATAGTAAAAGTTGCACAGCTTTAGCCGCAAAGGGAAATGGGAAATTGCATTGTCTATATTTACAGAAGTGCAACCTTAAAGATATACAAATGGAAGAGAGTGGAGACGAACATGCTACATAGGGACCCGCTCCATATTAATTCTTGTGTATTGGAATGTAGACCATGTTTACCCCGCGCGACCCGTTACGATGGAAATATGAATACCGGGTGTCTATTCATCTGTCCGTCTTATAAGTGCTCTGACATGTACAATTCTTGCCAGATACTTATAAAATGTATATAAAAGGTTGAAATTAGCTTTTTCTCAGACAAGTTATAAAAACCAGTGCCGACAAACTATTTTGCAAAGAGCTACCCTTTGATTTTTTTTTATATACAATTGCATTGTTAGCGCTTTCACATGTATACTTCATGTGCGTATGGTAAATTGCATTGTACGCACTATCACATGTATAACTCATGCGTACAAGATTGTTATCATCTTTATTTTATAGGTTATATATAAGCAATCTCTCGGAAAAGTTAGATAAACAGTACCGATCAAATATTTAAAAAAAAAAGTTATGCCCCTTGGAAATATTAGTATGAATATTTGCTTTGTAAGTACTCTTGGTAGTACAATATTTCCCAGACTTTCATCAAATCAACATCAAAGGTTTTTGAGAAAGGACCAACATTTAGAGCTGTTCAATTAACTGTTCTGGATTTTTGTTCTTTCGAAATGTTAAATCAAATTGCATTGTAAGCGTCCACGGGTCCAATCCTTTCCAGATATTTATGAAATCTAAAGTAACAGTATATGTGAGCAATGGTTCATATAAATTAAAAAAATAGTGCCAATCAACAATTTTGTAAAGAATTATGACCATTGAAAATATTAATGATATGGAAAATTGTGCTTTAAGCGCTCTCAAGCCTACATTTCTCTAAGTAAATCAATTGACAGTCTTATATATAAAGAACAAATTTTTTTTTAAGGTTTTGCCCTTGGACAGATAAATTAAGTACAACCCGTGGGACATTGGACATTTTTCCTGATTAATTAATTTTACCATATCTGTGTACGTGTTTTGTATAAATTGAAAAATTATGACATGGATCCAGGTCATAAGCAAAACTAGATCTTTCTGGTCTCTTGCTTGCACAATTTCTGTTGTTAACTAAATAAATACAAGAAAAATTCTGAAAATTTACGATGCTATTGTGCAAATTGTACATGACGTTTCTGACGTCCATTCAAACTAGGTAAATAAATGGAAATTTTGTCTCGTATTAGAAAATTAATTTATCAAATATCTTATTATATATGTACATGATGTATACTAATATTATGCAATTATTTACCAATTTTACATAACAAACGACCGAACTCGATAGGGATTTAGAGAGGCCCCAGTCCAGGTTGCACTTACGAAATGCTTACTGGTCCAGATATGTTGGTATTGCTTGATTCTGATTGTATTCCCTAATATAAATGCAAAATAAAGCATATTTCCACAAAGATGTGATAAACATTCACATATAATTGAAGCAAGACATATATATAGGGGATTCAAATTATCCTTTTGTTGAACAATACAATTACTTACTTGTTATTGAGATTATTATTATGACAACTTCCACACGTGCTCGGTTTCTATACTTCCAAAGCTCGTAGTTCACTGAATATGTAATAGAAAATGAATCTCATTATTTCATAAAGTTTTTTTTTTTATTATTATTATCATTAAGGCAGCTGGGGTGTCTTCCTCCATCTTGGATTCTGAAATAGCAGATAACAATCGGTCTAGATCTTAAACAAAATGTGCAAATTTCTAGAGTAGTGTGTAATTCACATGTAAAACTTTTCATGCCAATATAGAAAATTATGTGTTTTATCATATTTACGGCTGTATTTTACCAAAACAAAAACAGAATTTTTTTGTTTGATTTATTTTTTCCAACTTTGCCACATAAGTGGAGATAACTCAGATATAACGGAAGATAACTTATATAAAGTAACTTTTATTATAGAATGTGTTGTGAATTTTCCTATTTGTTTATGTAGCAAGAAAACGAGTCCAGTGACCCCATTTTTTTCTTTTTCTTATCTGAAAGCATATTATTAAAGGTATCTTAATAGTTTATCTTAAAATTCTATGGTGTAGTTTTTTTTTATAACACAAAATTCGATTTTCCATGCATAATCTATACGGCATCTGACAATTTTGCACAACCTGTAGCGCGAAAAAGTCCGGTGACCCATACTTTTTATCATATGTTTGAAAAAAAAGCATGATATAAACTACATTTTCACAAATTATTAAAAAATTCTATGGATTTTAATTTAGACCCCCCCCCCCACCCCCACCCCCACCCTTCCAATCTACCTTAACACGAAAGATTGTCTTGAAATACTATTATGCGGCGATTACCTCAGTCATCTTTTATTCACCTTGGTATTAAAAACAATGTACAATATGTGATTTAAACAAACTTTCACAGGATGGCTGACTTGCATTTAAGACACGGTAAATACTATAAAAATTTGGACCTGTTGCTTGAAGGCGATCCATCGATCAAGATATAACCGTTTTTTGCAATTTACTTGTCAGTTTTATATTAAGCAGCATATTAAATAATATCTAAAGGTATCATATAAGACCCTTCTTGATACACCATTATATAAATAAAAAATAGCTGAAAAGGAGAAAGAGCAGATTTTTACTCCTGGAACACATTGTCATCCAAAGCAAAGACCAGTGGGCGTACCATAAATTTTCGTACGTAATACTCCTAAATATTTAATATACTGTGGTATGTAAAAGCCAACTGAAGATTTATTGGCTCTGACTTTCATGTTTTCATCCAATAAGGATCCAAATGAGGAGGATTCTTTTTTGAAGTTCACCTGATTCACTCCAATTGTGTTTGTTGACTTGATTTGTCTCTTCCTGGTCGATTTATGAGATTTGAACATCGGTTAATTACTGTCGCCTTAATTTGGCAATTATTTGTAGGTTTTAGGGCCATTCAGGTCATATGCATAGAGCTCTTCATGTGTTTAGAAATTTATGCATCATTGGTTTTCCAATATTTGACTTTGAGCAATCCCGATGTCGAAAAATCAAGATAAGAGCCTCAGATGCATATATTTATACAGCATTGTTCTTATACATGTTATATTCTAAAGAAAATAGCATAAAAAACGTATAACAGAATCGCAACAACTTGATATTTACTGTCTATGACATTATAAGTTTATTGACAATTTTTTTCATTTGACTTATAAGTAGATATCATATTTCTGATAATTTGTCTGTTTACCGTTTAAAACTCATCTGGTGAAAAATCGCCAGTTTGCTAATTATGACTTTTATATGCACATCTTGCGGATGTTCTTTGTGTACATATTCAACCAAACTTATAAACATTTTTAGATAACAGACAAACATGCAAAACACAGACACTAAATCATCGTTTTAGGGGTATCAACTCCAAAACGGGCTGTTACACATTCAAAGTAAATAACTGTTGTCATGTTGCTTTTTTTTTATTAGTTTACACTTTTTACCTAACTCCTATAGAATTTAAAGTAAAAGCCAAAACAAATTAGAAAATAATCAATTTATCATGGGCAATATGTCAAAAACAGGTTGACAGATTAATTTTGAAATTTTCAGGGTTAATATATCTTATCGTGCCTATCATAGTTTACTGTTTACCCAATTACCTTGTAGTATTATCATTCCACTTTACCTTTTCTTACAAACCAGTTGAATGTGTACGACCTACAGTGTTTACTCGTTTAAGTCAAAATATGACTAGTACTTAACTTAAGCTTTGTGAGGTAAGTACATCTTCTGACATATTACTTCGCTTGAACTAAAGTATCAGATGAAAGTCAAATATTATTCTTGACAACATATTAAGCGTTCTATCAACATACCTGTTCCAAACCCCGGTGTGATGGGCGATGATATATCGATATCTCCTGGCAATCTATTAAAGTATTGATCATAAATAACTAAGGATGGATAATGGCATCACATTTGATAAAACAAATCAAATATATATCAAATGCTTTTGTCTAATCAAGAGGCAATGTTTGTGATATATAATGGATGGTAGAGACAAGCGTAGACAGTTCTATAATGTTTACAAATGCTGTGTATAAATACGTTTTTTTTTCTGAACAATGAACACAATACTTCCAAATAGGAAGTCTAAAGAAAATGTGTTTCGTAACTTTCTTTTTTAACCTTGCAAATCGATGAACGTTGGCATATAACAAGTTCTCTCTTCGAAAGAGGTTGATTTTTGACATTCAAGTAATACGATTTCAGAATTGATTTCAGCTAGAACAGAGCAAAGGAGCACATATCAAGGTCATCTGAGATCTTTCATTTTCATGTCAATTTTAATTTCAAATGTTATGTTCACCAGTACGATTTTTTTGTTAGACTGGCAGTGTATGAGTAAAAACTCTGAATGAAGATTATGTATCTAACGGAATGTTTGTGAATTTTCACTTATACATGTACCTTAATAAACCTGCACCTGAATTACCATAACAGACGGGGGAAATACCGAAGAGAGTATCAAAATTTATTTGCATATCGAAGGGAAACCGACAAAAAAAAAACGACGATAAGACAAACAGTCTACACAACACTACATATATAGCTATTGGCTGAGCAACACGAACCCTATATAAAATAATATGTGAAGGATATTGTCAATCCATTTTTGAACAGAATTACTCCTCTTGTTTACTGATTATAACTATATCTATATCAAAGGTAATTGAGATCAATGTTTTAAAACCATGACAACAGATATTATATAACTTAACATTGATATAATATTATTGACAATAAAAAGGATCAGTAGAGATAAACCCTGACCGATCAATATCAATACATAACAATGGTGTATGTAACACGTATTCTTGACCTGCTGACGTGTGCATTTAAGATATTGAGATTCTAATAGTTAAATGGAAACTTGATGCTGATCAATTAATGGTGTACATGTGGGATCAACGTCAGATGAACTTTTGCAGACGGACGTGTACTCCTTACAATCACACTACTTATCTGCTATAGTGTACTTGTTACTTGTAATGAGTGTTGGTGGTTCTCCTAACCATCATGTGGCAAATATGTCAGTCATGCCTATTCAGGAAAATGATAAATTAATAATCAAACAAACATGCATGTTTGTAGCAGTGCGTCAACCATGAAAAAGAGCAGGAATATTAAAATACCTCCGAAAATTAAGTGTATATTCACAAGAGAAGAATTCTCAGGTAAATTACTAATTATACAAATGGCTATTGCAAGGGGTCTATAATAATAGTTAGGAGTCGTCTAGAACAACTTGCACTGATGTGAGTCTTATTACTTATATTAAGGCTTCACTTTGACTTTGATATGATGAAGGACGTCAAAAGTTGTGTTCTTTTGTTTCATGCGCGTGTAGTGATTTTGTGTTACAAACACGATGCATGCACAATATATGTTTTTTTTCATTTTCCAGACAATTTAACATTGATATATGACTACTGAAAATGAGACCAACGCCAACTAAACGTTGTATTATACAGCATTGACGCCATACAATCATCTCACATTAATTCTTTAAAGTGAACGCGTTAATTATAGTATTATAGAAACTGAACTAAAAACAAAACTTAACGATGGCAAGTGAACCCTCTTTGCAGACATATATTTCTTGCTTGGTTTATCTCCTTAATTGTATCTTTACAAATAATTGTGTCATGACCTGTTTATAATTATAGAAATCCCGTATACTTACTTATAATAAAACAACAATACAATGTTTATATTCAAAGTTGCCGAATCTTTAAAATGTAGAGAAGGACAACGGAATGAAACTTTTGCAATCACAAATTGATATAGAAGAAATTCAATGTCAATCTCTGCACAAGAACATGCGTATTTTTATACAGATGTAGTAGAATAATCTGCGATAACAAAAATTACGTTTTAGTACCTTTAAAATAATAATGCTTGACAACGGATTACAATCCTGATGTCAATGTAACATTAAAAAACTTACACAGTTACAATATGGTCGCACTTAAAACTTGTTTTCCACTTATTCTTATCAAGGCATTCATAATCTGGAATATAAAATTGGATTCAATACGTTTGAGGAGTAATACATTTATTGTATTATATATGTAAAATGGGTTTTGAAATATGTCAGCACAAAGAGATCTAATATTTTCAAATATCACAAAAGGAAGTATGCCATTTAAACTAAATCCTATTAAAGTATGACTTAAGTTACATTTCCGGAAGTGAAAAGAAGAACTTCCCGAGGAGATATTTCAGTACTTCAAGCTCTTTCAAAACTACGAACACAATATATCGTTTATATCATGAATAATAGGCGAGCTTTGAAGGAAGTACGATGTATAAAACATGAATATTGATAAACCTATATAATTATGAAGACTTTAGTCGAACTGTATTGAACTTTAACTTAACAATAAACCTTATTAATATACATACAATGGAAGTAGCTTGAACAGGATAAAGATATCCTTGGATTCGAATCTATTGTCACACTAAATATCGAGGGCATCACAATCATTTGAACAAGGGAAACACTTGTCGGAAAAATCACACTTTAACAAACAAAAGACATAAAAAAATGTATATATATATATATATATATATAATGTCTAAAAATAGCAGCAATCAACATCCAATCTATTTAGGCGTGGATCAGTTTGTGAAAATAAACTGATACAGTTACTGAATTAAAATTATATAAATGTCTAAGAATATAACTTAAACACGTTAATTAATACATTAAAAAATTCTATTAGATTTTAAATAGAAATACGCAATATTTCGCTAAACAAATTAGCTTCATCAGGCGTGTGCATCTCTCAAGGTGAAATCGGATGCATGAAAAAAAATATTTTTGTAGCTTGAACTACACAAAATTTGAGTAAAAGTTTAACATATTTATTGATGTTCTATAAAAAAATATGTGTTTGTAGCTTCAACTACATAAAGCTGGAGTAAAAGTTTAACATATTTATTGATGTTCGATAAATTGTATGAATTTCTATAAATTAATTTGTATTATTTCAAGATTATTGTTTTGATTTGTTTTTAAATCTTTTTTCGTCTCTCTCATTGAGTCCATCAAGTTCAAGAGTTCGTAACTGGTGCATCCAAAATCTCTCTCTCTTTTGTCTTCCTCTTGTGTCCCAATTTTGGTTTTTCTCAATGATTTGAAATGTGACGTTTTCAAAATCATGTCCTACCCTGGAGTGATAATAGAAGTACATCTGGAGAATGTCGTTCGTATGATGAAAAACGCTGAAAATGCTGCCTACAGATGCATCACTCATCAACTTTTCACAGTAAGGCAACCGAAAATAACTATTTGATATTTTGCAATGTTACCTGCAAAAGTATGAATGTTATTTACATTCTAGAATGTTCAGTTTGTGGCCTCCAATATGTTGGTGAGTCAAAGCAGCCTTTCCACAAACGCCTCAATGGCCATAGGAGTGATATCTCTAAGAAGCAAACAACCAAGGTGTCACAATTAATTATGAATATAATAAATTTTATCTTTTGTAAAAATCCAAGCAAGGTCTTTAGCGCTTTGTGCATGTTATTTAATTAGAAAATACAAATTTTCAAAATCAAACTTTTGATTGAAAACGACACAAAGAAAAATATAACATGTAAAATGTATCCCAATAAGTCCCATTTAAGAGATGTATATACATGCCTGGTGATAAAATGTCGTTAGAGGAACATATCTTTAGGTGACAGGAGCAATCTTCCTCTGTTGGTTCACAATAACATCGATGTTTTGGCCTGATTATAAAATCATAACTTCTAGTATAATCACAGCGGCATAGCCTATCCTTTATCGTTGTACCGTTACTAAAATTGATTTGTCCTTCCTCGCTGCAGTACGATTTCCTATAAGCACAGCGACTGTTCTCGGATGACAAGAATCGAAATGGTTGGTAGAAAGCTTTGTCACAATCAGCTCCTTGTAGCGTCCCTTGAACTGACCCAGCAACTATTAGTTTTTGTCCTATAAATCAAATATATTATGTACAAGCAAATCGTTGCAGATAGAAGAAACGCATAGTTGCAAACCATGAGAACCATGTACAACACTAATAAAATTGAGAATGGAAATTGGGAATGTGTCAAAGAGACAACAACCCGATCAAAGAGAAGAAAACAGACGAAGGCCACCAATGGGTCTTCAACACAGCGAGAAAATCACGCACCCGGAGGCGGGTTTCAGCTGGCCCCTAAACAAAAATGTGTACTAGTTCAGTGAAAATGGACGTCATACTAAACTCCACAACATATAAATGAACTAAAACTACCAAAATATGCCATCTTTAATGACCTGACAACAGTATCGTATCTATATTCCTTCTGAATAAGTCTGTTAAAAGGCTTGGTTAGCTTTTTAGGTGAATACCGACATTTTTGTGCTTTGTAAAGAAGATTACCATAAAAAATTTGATGTGAAATACCTGAACGTATAAGATGTCTGCATGTTGAATTATATTTACGAATGATGTCCATGTACCGATGATAAACTTTAGTAAATATTTTGACTAGTTTGTGATATCGAAAACCCTGGTTTAATAATTTTTCAGTAATACAGAGATTTCTTTCGTTAAAATCAAATACGTTGTTACATACACGAGAGAATCGAACACGTTGAGATATATAAACACCATAAGATGGTGACAAGGGAACGTCACCATCTAAAAATGGATAATTAACAATAAATAATCCGTTTAAAGATATAGATCCAGGAAAGGGCAGTGTTCATTGTTAGTATTAGCTATATTTAAAGTCAGTTCAGCCGGATAAATCTCTTTAGTGTACATACTGAAGTCGTCATTATTGAGAGCCAATATATCACCTAAATATATAAAAGTGTTATTAGATTTTTGTATCAGATGTTGTTTCGATGGGTCTTTGCTAATTTTAGTCATAAATTGTAACTCATAACAATATAGAAACAGGTCCGCAATAAGTGGTGCACAGTTAGTCCCCATTGACTTGACGATATACGGAATCTCCATAGCGAACAAAAATGTTATCTAGCAAAAATTCAAGGGCAGTTATAGTATCAAAGCAGGTCCAATTGACATAGTTCTTTTGTGTGTTGCTACTAACAAATGACCTAAAAGAGTTTGAACATAAATATTCGCATTCTGACTTTTAAAATGCACATTTAATTAGGTGTGTGAATTTTTTCTCAATAAGATTATGAGGAAAAGTGATATATAGGGTAGAAAAATTAAAACTTTGAACAGATTCGAAATCACCAATATAAGCATGCAATTTATCAAGTACTTCCAACGAATTTTTTACACTCCAAAAGTCATTAATTCCACTATTTTCAAAGGCCTTATTTGAACAATTTGTTACCAGGTTTTTGATTGTACCAAGTACACTAGTAAGTAGAGTAGACAGTTTAGTAGTGGAACAATGGCTTGAAGACGAAATAAATCTATATTTGTAAGGTGTGTTGTGCAGCTTTGGAACCCAGTACATGGTAGGAACTTTCATTGTATTTGGTTCTGCTTGTAAAGAAGTAGCTATTAGTTTATGTTTGTTACAGATGTCATTTTCTGAAAATGGAGTCAGTTGGAATGTTGGTGAATTCTTGATTTCCTTTTGCAGAACCTCAATGTAAAATTTATGTCAAACAATAATGATATTATTAGCAGCCTTATCAGCCGGGACACAAACAAATTCCTTGGCGAGTTCTTTTAGCTTTTGTTTGATACGAGAAATAGGGTTATTATGGGTGTTTTTAGGAGTAAAATGTTCTTTAAAATGTTGTATACGTATATCAACTATGTTCATTACTGAATTAAAAAAAGAATCTGAGGATTTCTTTTCAGCTTTTTCTCGTTTTATCCATTTCGAGCAGTAAGTACGGAGTTAGTCGTGAATGATGTTACGACACTCATTCCAATTAATAATTGACGGGGGACGATATTTAGGTACTTTGCTGAGGAATAATTTCAATTCTCGGTCTCGAACGATATTAAGGTCTCCTGTTATGACATGGGAACTGGGGCCAAAAATGTATTCGGAATTACTGTAATTTCATGACGTAGGTGTATTGTTATAGTTCCATTTAGATAAACTAATATAGTTTGACGAATACTCAATTTTTTTTTTTATCAAATACAATGCAATTGTCAGAAATAACCTTAAAACATTTCAGATTTTAAGATTTGCTTGTTTACGTTTGGACTCTTATAAAAAAGGACTTAGTTTTCATTTTGTATTGTTTTATATCTGTCATTTCCGGCCCTTTTAAAAGCTTAACCAGTGGTATAGGTTTTGCTCATTGCTTAAGACCGTACGGTAACATATAGTTGGTTCTTAACTTTTACGTTATTTGGTCTCTGGTTAATAGTTGTCTCATTGGCAATCATACCAAATCATACCAAATCAACCAGAATGGATATAACATCTCATGCTTATTACTTTATATCAAAATAACAGTGGTACATTTCGTTGTTAACAAAATTTTACACCTTCACCCTGGGTCGACTGAAGATGTCCCGAAAAGGGTAATAAGGTCAATGTAAGCAGTTACTTAATGCAGACCCTTGTTGAACGGTTTCAATTGCATTTTCAAAATTGTATTTGGTTAAAGAGTGTATTACCAGGTGCTTCAAAATCTGGATTTTCTCTGCAAAATTCGACAAAATTGTTTTTATTTTGATCATACAAGCAACAGTATCTGGCGCCAGAACCACAATACGTTTGTGACCTTCGTTTCCAGTGTGCCTGAACAGGACACTGAAAGCTATAAAAAGCTTCAGATATCTCGTTCGATAACAGAATCTGAAAAACAGTAAAGTAAGCGTTATTAATGTTAGTTAAAAAACTTTTTCAAATCGTGGTGTATGCATTATTTCTATATAGTAAAGGCATATTTTAAGGTATGGAATACATTCATGAGCCAACCAATCTAAGGAGAAACGAACAAAACTAATGGGCAATTTGTACAGAAAAACATACGATGTTCTTTAAAACACGAAAATTGATGTCCACACAAATTTATGCAGCCAAAGTATATTGATGACGTTTGTCACTCAATGAGCTTCTCGTCAGTGAATTTGATATTTCAGAAACAAACGGAACATTACGAAAGTAGAAGTTCTGCTTCCTATGTTGATCTTTTGTTGTCTTTCCCTGTATATTGACACATATATATGACTTTAATCTAAGATCCATGACAAAGGGGATGATTAAAGATTTGCAAGTGTCAATCTCCAATTCTAAGAAATAGCATATCCTCGTTTCAGTCATATGGCGCTCACATATCTAAGTTCATACGTCACAACCTTGCATTTTCATACTATACGGACTTTGTAAACAAGGTTTGTTCCTTGGACAAAAACTGCTCCAAGTTTTGAGAAAGAACGACTGCAATCGTGACACTTCATTATACCGTAACCATCACGAATTGGATAACTTATACGATGTGTCGGTGTCTAAATTTCTAGCATCATATTTTCGCGATCTTAGATCCTAAGATACCACTCTTGTCGTCTGATCAATAATTTTACCGATTGTTTAATTTTGACTGCGGGTGGGTTCACATGGCAGTTGATGTGTGCACAGCAGGAGACACTTACATGTATCCTCTCGACGCGTTTGGTCTCGATCTTTTTGGAGTTCCGTTACTTTTGTTTAGTTACTTTGATTTGTATCTTCACAACCGATTTATGAGATTCAAATACCAGTAAACTTATGTCCCTTAACTTAGCTAGATCATCGACTAGTACTGGTGATCACCATATGATCTTTCCAAATTATGTGCCGTCTATAATGTTCAAATTAGCAGTCATCCTGGTTGTAATTTGAATATGCAGTTTATTTTTTATGTATGTTTTCAATAACGAGATATGGCCTATATAAAAAAAGTGGAGTGTTTGCATGAACGCGAAACTGATGCAATCCCACCACATTGTTTTAACGATATCAATATTAAAGTAAGGAAATATGGTATTATTGCCAATGAGACAACTATTCACCAAAGTTAAAATGAAGTGGATGTAAGCAATTATATGCAACAATAAGGCTTCCAACATTGAAAAACCAATACCGTATAGTCGGATATAAAAGGCCCCGACATGAAAAATATGTAACAATTCAATAGAGAATATCTAATCAATATGTTATTCGTTATCACTGGTCTTTGTAAGTATAGTTTTATGAGGAGTCGTATGTTGGTGGTCCGTGTGGCCTGTTGTCTTGTACAAAATTTGTTTGTAATTTCTATCAATACTTTTTTTTAATTTAAATTGGGTAAATTATTCAGGAATTTGAAAAACATTCTTTATATATTTTCTCGTTTAGGAGTATGTATACATGCAACCCATTGTATGTGTGATAAGGGTTGAGTTTCAGTTATGTCTTTAATATAGTATTCATGTATATATACATGCATCTAAACAAACTTACCAGGAAAAATCTGAACACACTGTATAACTGCATGTTAAAAGCTTTAAGAAACCAGTCTGCGTGCTTAAAATAAAATAAAATGGATGGCATTTAAGGAAAAGGTAACAGTGTATAGATATGACATAGTGTTTTAGGGTATTAACTGCTTTATTGTTTGTAGTGTTGTACCTCTAACTTTCATACGATATGATGATACACTATCATTATAAAACTTACAGAGTGGCTGCTATTCACCGCGAGAAAGTCGTGGTACAGACATTTTCAAATTGTCACATGGATTCGACTTTTCGGCCACAGTTTCTTTCCTTCATTGATTGAAACCTTGTATGCTCTCTAGAGGATAATTGTCTCATCGGCAATCAAACGACATCTCCTTATTGCTATTTGTATTCCTCTTTGGAACATTTTACTTTGAAATAAAGATTGACAAATTTCAATTTTAAAAAGGACACAATTTAAGAAACAAGAACTCAATCACAAACCAAGGTTAATAGACCAAAGGTTTCATACGTGTGGAAATCAGTGTCTGTTCCACTAATATTACCCGTCGTGTTACTCTTATGACGATCCGGTGAGAGACTATAATCAGTTATAATGTATCATACTTTTATGAATCTGTAGATATATCTTGGTAAATATTACACCTTGGAAGTTTATAAACCATCGGTATGTATAAAATCTTTGGCCTTAATACAGGTGCATACTTTAAAGTTCAAAAAAAAACACAAAGCGTTAAAGTAATTTTATGTAACATTTTTAATGTTACTTTTGTAATTTCATTGATCGTGATTCAAAGAAAGATGGTTGAGATCTAACCAGAACAATTTTATTCCTGCAAGATATTAATGTACAAGTCCAAAAATTCGACATTGTTTGTATTTTCTTATGTCTAAATATTTGGAATTGAGTGTTCAAGATTGTAGATTATCGTTCCAAAATTTTGTCTCTATCATTTTAGACTTAAGTCAATTTAGAGATTGACTTTTTTGTATAAAAGTAAACATTCAATCAAGCGTAAACTTTCCACGCTATCTCAGGGATATAAATTATCATTTTTTGAATATATGAATATATAAAAAAATGTGTACACATTGTTTAATTTTGTATAAATTTGTGCACATTATAAATTGTACAGAATTTTTGAACTAGTTTTCAGTATTTTGCAAACAACTTACGAAATCTTGTATACTCATTCGCAGCTTTTTTAAGTTAAGTGTCAAAATACTGAAAACTTGAACAAAATTACAAATTAAACAAAACAGACAGATATATATCTTAAATTTAGCCCAACAATGTTAGATCAGCATATTTGCGTAAGCAAGTTTTTGTTTTTCTCTCAGCACGAACCAAACGTGATAAAGGAGGATAATTTTACTCATCATATATGCATGCAATCTGGATAATGCTTTTGTTTTATTGTACAATTCCCTTATGTCCTCACGTCATTAAAAGTAAAGGGATGCTGGTTAATCAGTATAAATCATTTAACAATGCATGTACATCACAATTAACCCTGATTAAAATCATTTATGCAAAAACAAGTCTCATAGTCATTCAATGTGTCTGTTTATACACAATCAACATATCAAAATACTTTTCTTTGAAAACAGTAGAAAATTATTAATCGATTTTTCATTGCCAGCAATAAATGTTTCTTAGAATAGGTTTGTTCAGTTTGTAATTGACAATATCAACGTAAAATATCGGTTATCAATGTGTATATACAATTATAAAGTAATATATATACATATATAACAAATAGATTTTTTAATTTGTCATTTCCTTTTGACAACCTGTTAACTACAAGGTTTGTAAAATCTTTTTTAAAATGAAGGTAGAGGTTTTGCGAGCAGAGCTAACAAAGTTGTATCCCCTTCCAACACCTTCATCATACTGATGTCAGAGAGACTGATGAATATCTGAAGGATGTTAAGTAGTAGATTTATTATACATTTTGATTTTCGAATTCAAGGTGCCAAACATATGGCCTTATCATTCATTTTCCTTTATAGATTTACCAGGCGTTGATATTATGACATATATCTAATGTTGTACTTGTTGTAACAATGACAATATCAAAAAGTAAACGAACACTTTACTACTTTTAATTTTAAAGATTTTACAAATAAGACCAAAAAAAATTACATATGACTTCCATATTCTACTAGTATGGATTTCACATGAGGACATTGTAAATATATTTTCACATATCACTGCGATATAAAGTATACTAGCAATGATGGACGCATTAAGTTTCAAGATATATACAATCGGAATTAGATCGCTGCATTTATGATTGAATATTCTGAAATTTAAAAAGAAAAATCCGACATTCAATCAAGATGATGTTTGAAGTTTATTTTCCCTGAAAGTGCATGTTCATCCACACCCTCCTGTTAAATATCCTAACTGCAAAACAATACGGAAGTTGCTAACGAGGAAATACAACTAATATAACAACAAATTGAGGAAACATTGCTTCGTCATACATGTGTCATATGATTACGTACTAATTAGATCTCTTTGTTTTGATATTGTTAACTTTAATCGCTAAATCGTAATTGATAATATTCGGAACTCTCGACTTTTGTCTCTATTGTATTGTTATTGGGTTCAGCACAATGGAAATACGAAAATAGATATAGTTAGATGTGAAAACGAACATCATTCTATACATATCTAGTGTAACGTGATCACAGATCAAAAATTAGAGTTTTTTTTTCATTATATTGGTCATTTGTTGTGTAATAGGAAATTAACGATATTAAAACTTATTCGAATATATGTTTGAACAAACCTAAATGGCCAGTTATATGTATATATGTGTAATATACGTATAACTATATGTGTTATCAATGAATTGGATATTTTGATAGATTTTATTTTCACAACAATTGCTTTTTCAATGTTAATATGCCATGGCAACAATCTGTATAAGAATATGATTTTGCACGACAACCATCTACTAGACACCAACATGACGTGGATGTAAGTATTTACAAGTCACCGTGTAGTTTCCGACGATAAGCAAACTCATGTTGAATAGTAAGTTACAAAAAGACCTCGATAAGATACAATCTATGACAACTAAAAAAAAAACACTGTGCTAATTTATGTTATAAAAAGAATAAAAACAGATGACAGAAACCGATCAATGACAACAACTGAATTACAGCTCATGACATGGGTCAGGCATACATAACTTAGGGTGGTGTTAAACATGTTTGAAAACGCTTAAATATCTTACTATCATATGTAACAGAACAACATAAGCAAAATAAACTGTAAAAATCATTCGAAAAGGGCTTGACTCATAAGATATACACGAAGCAAAAATGAATAAAAATCAAAAGCACATAGAATGGATCTAAGAGTACTCACAATTACTGAAAACTAGATCATAGCAAATAACTAAGACATAACTATAAATTCATACACATCCGCGATTTAATATGAGTCTTTATAAACAGTCGGAGAAAAACAACACCAAGTTCAATGTCAAAATATTAGTATCGACAGGATGTAGGACTACATGTATACGTGTTTGTAACTGTATAGCAGAGCTATTTTAAGTTATTACGTTTAAATTCATTAATAACAAAATCTATGTTAGAATCGATAACGACAAGACAGTCACTGTGTTAAAGTGATAAACTTTAAGAATAACTTTTTTGAGAGGATCGATAATATAAATGTCATGCTCTATATACAACATCACTGTAGATTTTGGGATTTGATATTTTCCTTGCCCCATGCTTTTTGGCATTTAGACCGAGCCTAAAAAAACACTAGGATGGAAAGTAGTTCCATTGGCACTCATACCACATCTTCTTGTTTATATTAGAATTCCGTAGGTCTACGGAAGCGGCAAATTTGTTTCTTAAGGTCGTTTACTTACGATCGTACTATTTATTCTACGTATTGTATGCCTCATTTCAGTGTTCTTGTTTGCAGTATATTGATTGAAAAATGTCACATAATGCTCTAAAAAATGCTCTTAAATATGACAGCTGATGTAAACGTTTTATCTCACCAAATAAAGGTATTTTGGTTCTTTTTTGTAACGCAAGTGAACCACAATATTTGCATTAAAATACAAGCGGTTTCGATATATTATTATGTATTACGAGTTTTGTTTAGTATCAAGTTGAAATAAGATATTTCATAATGATACCGCACATAACAATCACTCAAATCTATAAACAGAGTTCAATCACATTAATCAGATCACATTATAAGTGAAAATAAAATGGCCACATTTAACTTTCTAGTTATAGGTTAAGTGGTTTGATCATTAATATATTGTAAAAGTAACAAAATAAATATTTATTGAAATACAAATGTATCTTTAGATTGATCAAAGCTCAATTATATGGAACTGAATGATAAAAACATGTTTAAATTCACACCAATCGCATAGAAAATACTTAGATCATATCATAAAGTTTAAATTATTTGAAAATTTAAATTGGTATGTAAATCTTGTATTGATTCGCTCGGATTAAACACACAAGTTTAAAATAGTTTAAAATAAGACTTCAGATACATTTTACAATTGTACATTTGTGTGTTTTTATTTTGATGGCATATTTATAAAACGCTGTTGTTGGTTTGCACATACAAACAGGCTTAACAATATTGATAATACGTACGTGAATCATACATGTAAAAAGCAAAATAAAAAAAATACCGAACTCCAAGGGAAATTCAAAACGGAAAGTCCTTTATAAAATGGCAAAATCAAAAGCTCAAACATATCTAACGAATGAAAAACAACTATCATATTCCTGACTTGGTACAGGCATTTCCTTATGTAGAAAATGTTGGGTTGAATTGATCGATCCAAAATGAAAAATTTAAATACAATAAACTATGTACTGCGGTATGAATTTAAAAATAGATTGTCTTGTTAAAAAAAGAGGTTTATCATATGTCGTCTGTTATATAATAAATCTTGAAGCATTGCCAAGTTAAATCTAACGTTAAAAATGTTTAAAACATAAAAAGTTTTTTTTACATACGGATACATGTATACAATATTTATTTTGGAATATTTGTTTAAA